TAACTTGATAATAAACATTACTAAGAAATTCTTTTTATAACTCGTGAAGGTTATTTATCCAGTAGTTCAGTCCGACTTTTCAAGAGTTACATATTGAACCTACACAGAGCCTCCTCATCTTTCCCGCACCTGAAGCTAGATCATGTTTTGAAGCCAGTTGGTTTTCTAATCAGGGAGGAAGGTAATGGATGGAAGCAGTTGTGTCAACAACTATCTTGTCAATTCTTTTTCAGATCTTCTTTCTGGGTACTGGTCCCATGACCCTAGGGTGCATAGCCATTACATAGGTACAGCACAGGCGTGATATCATTCCCATCACGCCCTGGTGATAAATTCACATAACACCTACTGGGAACTTATGTGGGGAGACTCTTCCGAAGGGAATCCAAGCTTCAGTGATTACCAATATATACTAATGTGAGACTACGCTTTGCTCACAACATTCTTGCCGAAAATCTCGGGAAATTATCTTCGACCACCATTAACCAAAGTGTGGACTGAGAGCTTTTAACAAGAAGAAAGAATCTACAAGCATCACATTGACATTTTTGTACCATGATCAGCAAATATTTGAGTGCTAAAAGCCCTGATGAAGGGAGATAACTCTGGTGAAATGTTGAGGCGTGTTCGAGCAATCCTGCTGGGATATTAGAGATTATGCTTACATCGGTAAAAAGGATTCCATGAGTTCTTACAAATATCTTCAAATTTACTGAGGATGTTTTTCAAATACCAGCATTAGAAAAAGAGTGGTCATGAATGACTTTAACAGAGGGAAATTATACAATTTCAGCAAACATAAATATCTTGACTGATGATTATATGATAAGTAAATAAAAAGCACAGGATAAGAGTCATTGCAGATACATATGTCGGTGATACTCCTGAAAATACACAAACCATTCCTGAAAGTCATCGACACATTGCAACCAGCAGCCATTTTGAGCATTCTTATGCAATCAGCATGAGTGTTAGTTATTCTGCATTGATTTTGCATGCATCTACTCGCAGGCATGGCATTATTACAATTATCTCTAGTGAGATCACATTTCTCCTCATTTATTTCTCATTTCTCCACTATTACCTAACCTGAACCAGCTGTAGCCTAAATTGACCAGAGATATTATCTGTTGTATGCAAGCTGTATGGCAAAACCCAGACCTTCCACTGTGAAATGCCTCAATTCCGTTCTGCAATATCTGTTTCATATTCCATTTCTTAAAGCCATTTTTTCACATTTAACTCATTCAATTTTTCATAATCAGTCATCCTGCAAATAACAATATTATTACATTTGAAAGGAGCATCAGAAATGAAATTGGTTGAATCTAATAAAATTCAGAGCAATCTTGGTTTTTTCAAATAATATAATTTTACAACATATATTCACAACAAGATAATGTGAATGAACTTAAAAATTGCTACAAAACTTGTGAAAAGTCTTATTAGGCTGTGTTGAAAATTAAGCAGCTTGTTGATAAGTAGTAGTTGAGAAAATAGCATTGGAAAAGAGGACAACCCCACAAACTGATTGAAGATTTCCATACCACTGTAACTGATACCAATAAGAACAGATGCATGTTCTCTCACAAACACAAGGCAGCAATTTAGGTTGCTTATTCCCTGAATCTGACACAAATGGTTTAAAATGAGGAAGCTTATGCTCAAAAATCGTCAAATTAGAGGCAGTTTTAGATATTATCAGTATTAAGCCACAGGTTCTTCATAACAACATGTGTTTTGTGTAGATCCTTATCAGCAAGACCGCAATAGCTGCTCCTGCTGAGTTCGAAATGAATCATCTCCTCAATAACATAAGCATGGATATAATTCCCCGATTCATGCCAAAATTAAATTCATATCAGCACGCTTCAGGATCTTTACATCAGAAAAGACCTACAATGTCATCGGATACATGATTTAAGCCAAATTTGATACTTTTGTCAACTTAATCTGAAATTTTAAAGGATTTATTCTGATGCAATTCATAAAAAACCAAGTAGCAGTGAATCAGGAAACGTGATACGTTGTGGGATAAGTCAATCTTCCTCCTGATGAATTCCTGTCTTGCGCCTAAATGCTTCCAAAATCAAATTATCTCCAAGCTTTATGGTTGGTTAGTGTTTTCAGACTGAGAGTCTTCCCAGTTGTGAGAGGTCCTTACTTTGGGATTAGATTGTGAAACGAGGCATAAATATACTCCCATTAAATGCATGTCAGCCAAAGCATCCCCTGGAGATTAACCAGAGGATCATACCAACAGTATTTCATAAGTGGAAGAAATTTCAAAACACACTGCCCATGTATCTCATTCATAGACTGAATGACATGCATTGCTCGAAAACTGACACCGTTTCGATGACTTTAATCCCTCTGTAGGAGACCGCAGTGTGGGGCCTGTTTATGCTTCATGAAGAAGTCCCCTTCCTACTAGGAGGTGCTCTTTTTCTCAAGAAGGAACACGATACTTTTAGCCAAATAAACAAACAGTAATAAATATTATCATTATGCTAACAATTTACTTCATTTTTTGTTTGATTGTAAAGTTCTGTTTTCTATGGATGAATATGCTTTCATTTTCAGTCCCAAATATCGCATATCACATAAATTGTTCCAGAACACTGATTTCACGGATAACTGATATTTACTTACCAAACAGTTAAAATATGTTTTCTTGGAAATAAATACCAGTTCAAAGGATACATAAATGTATGAGGTTTGATAAATTTTGTAGTATATCCTTAATTCCTTTGAAATTCTTCCCCTCTTTTGATCAGAAAGAAAATTTAGAAAAATTGACCCAAAAGAGTAACAAAAATATTTTCATGTCATTTGCTGATCCGGATACTTTTTTGTGGACTTAAAGAAGCAATAAAACTATCCAGTTGGAGTAACTTATCACAAATAGTTGTGAGAATTCTGACCAAACATTCATTGCTGACATTTACGAGGAAATACGAAACTTAAGAAACCCACACCAAGCATCTTGGATACAAAGAGTAGGTAAAATATGTAAATCGCGGAACATTGCAATAAATGTCCTCCTTAACTCTAAGTCAGGAGAGCACCAACAAATCTAGACCACCGATGAAGAGAAAACCCTACGGACATCCTAGCCACTCCGACATCAAAGGCCTGATAATAATAAAAACACCAAGATCTCTTTTCTGTACGTCTCCGAGAATAGACACTAGACGAGGGGAGACACATTATAAGGGCGATATGTGGACTCCATAAATGAACTTTAAGGTGAGAAACGAATCAGTTTGATAAAGGTTAAGATTATCATTTTCAAGCCCTAATTAGGTCTGTGACCCAGTGTTATCAACCACGGGAAAATAGGAACATACTCTTTGAAAACACATAACCGACCTAGAAAAAACAGACTTCTCACCTGTCATAGCAATTGCATCACAGGTGAGCACTTTTACATTTTTTCTAATACACAACATAATACTAATTAGAAACTTAACTCATAAGGTGACAATGTAGCTGTTTGTTAAACTGTATCTATTAAAGTTTAATACCTTGTAATAACAATTATACGACAATGCAATCCATCTAATAGTGCAAATAGTAACATTATCGTACATTAAACAGGCGTGGGTTATATTACTGGATAGCATCATGTCAAACATGATCATAATTATCTTTTCCATATTTCTCAAAATGGGCCATAACTGTCAGACTAATAAAATCAAATGTGTTTATATTTGTATAATAGAGGTTCTGTTTATATTTTCCCTTGACTGATTTCTGTTTATCCCCAAATCTGCATCTAACAGAGCATGACAGCACACCGACTTCAATGAAACAAGTCGACCGTACACGTCGTCCTCAGTAGACTGTCTGTGAGCATGTACAGGTATTTCAGTGTCATGCTGTTTTATGTTCTCCTTCGACACTTATCTCATTGATTCAGTATATCATTCCTTGTTAATGTATATCGCTTACACATTAATGTCCATGATATACAAAAAGAACAAAGGCCATTGCTTTTACATCAGTGCTCTGATAACAACGTTACATCACATGGCGTCTAGTTCAGGGTAGTTAACTGCCAATGTTTATTGCATGTTGCAACATTAAGTTCAGAAAGTCCATTGAATAAAATATGCCTTTTTCAGAATGTTTCTCATTTCACTGTTATCAAATGCAGGTCATGGAAGATGGCTACATTGGGTTCAGGAATGTATTGTTTGTTTTGAGTGTTACGAGTTGGGAAAGTCTGTTGGAGAATACTGAAGTATCAGACTGTCTGCCCCTTTAACAAAATGGGTATGTTATGTATATGGGCCTAGATTTTCGAAGCTCTCTTATCGCTAAGATAGTCGTAAGTGCCATACATTATCATTAACTTATGCCTATCTTAGCACTAAGAAAGCTTTGAAAATCTAAGCCCTGCTTTATGTTGAAAAGACAAGAGAGACACTGTCATGTGACGACTCGAAAACTGTAGGTATCGATATAGATGGTGTCCAGTTTCTTGGGGGTGTAGTTAATTTAGGCCTTAACAGTGTGATATGTCCATAGTGATAAAGCTTCATTGTCCAGTTTATTCAGAATCAACTTAAGCCAGTTTCAAGTGAAACATTTAGTACTTGTTAATTTCATCTTCACTGCCCATTTTTCCCAGAGCCATCTAACAGTTATTAAAATCATGGTATTGTAAGCCAGGGTTTGAATCTGCCTTGAACTGTATTCCATTTATATCATGGCATGTCAGTTAATGTTGGATGAAAACCTGAAGTGATGCAGAGTCAGACCTCTACCAGTCTCTGAACCATGAACCATGTATGGTGCTGACAAACCTAGAATGGAATTGGGACAAACCAAGATTTGGTTTCTGGATTGACCAAAGGGACGCAACTCTGCACAGCTAATTGCAGGGCCTTTGACGAGGATACTCCTATCCCCCTATGGCATTGGATATGGCGGCAGCTGCAGCAACACATGTCAGCGACTAGGTCCACATCAAGAAGATATAAGTGACTACTCACCTCACTGATGAATATATCTGTGACCTCATCCTCCAGAGACCCGTAACACAAGGTCAGACCAGGTCAGACCCAGTGTTCTCCTCACTTAACAGACACATCATCATCATTGTAGCATCATCATCATCATCCATCACCAACACATCAACATTAACAGAAACATCATCATCATCAACATCAACAACAACACATCAACATTAACAGCATCATCATCATCACCATCATCATCATCACCAATATCATAAACATGGGGTCAAGAAGTAGCGGAAGTCCGTAATATTTCAGTTAAAACATAAAACCAACCCTCTCGCCTTACACAGTACTACTATTATAAACAGAGTCTTACAGGGCCAGGGCCCTGTTCTACAAAGCCATCTTAGCGTTACTATTGTCTTAAGGCTATGTGACAGTATGATCATCTTAGCACTAAGATAACTTTGTGAATATGGTCCAGGGCCTAGATTTTCGAAGCTCTCTTATCGCTAAGATAGTCGTAACTTAATGTTAATGTATGGCACTTACGACTATCTTAGTGCTAAGAGAGCTTTGTAAATCTAGGCCCTGGTCTGCAGCGAATGCTGCATTAGAGTCAATCATGCAGGTTCATATTCATGCTACTACAGCCAGTCACAGCTGAATTGCGTTCAATAAAATAATATGACAAAAATCAGTTCATGAAGGACCTTTTAAATTCTTCACAAATTCTATGATTCATTTCATTCATATTGTTGACACTGCTAACAACCAGCATTATTTATTGTCCCTCAGAGAAGGTTAGTAGCTTCAGTCAGGATATGTCATGATTTACATTTCATCATAAACATCCTCACTATAAATATCTTTACATTCACCACGTCAGTGTTACAACCCTAGTCAAGCACCTTGTCAACAGAGATTGAGCAACTCTTCAGGACAAGAAGGTGAGAATACACTTTATGACAAGATGAAGGATTTGACAAACCTAGGGTATAAATCTTGTTATGAAATACTATTTGCTTACCACTCCTAACAAGTTGTTACAGTTAAGAATAATCACCCCTTATGGTATGTGAATAAATATGACCTTGACGTTCACGACCTTTCTAACTGACTTGCAAAGAAGCAAATAATCTAAACCATCCATCTCACATATCTTTCTTTGATGTGTCAGAGCTTTCATAAGCGGTAGTTTAAAAAACAGTAATAAAAATGAAAAATAGTGATAAAAGAAAAAGGACAAACTAAACTATTCCAAAGATTTTACAAGATGAAAGAAACACGACCTGACACTGTAGCTGATGTCTCATTCTGACAATATTCTGTGCCTCCAGGTTTGTGGTTTTGTTTGAAAGGTAATCTTAACCCCGCAGATCAAAGATGGTACCTTGAAACCGATACTTTCCCAGTATCGGTTGGTCATGGCCATCAGCGGTACTTTCACATGACTGGACAAGCATGTCAAGAAAATGACATGCCATGTCAGACATGACAATTAGGCTTTCAGAAGGTCTCAAGTTTATAACAGGCCATGTTCCTGCTAGTTGTCCTCTGTCCCATCAGCATGATCTAAACACTGTCACTCCATAGAGAATATTAGCGTGAACTTGTGACCCGAGCATGTGCCTATTGTACTTTATGTATGTTTTATAGGAGATTGATAGAGATGGAGCTGTTTAAGCAGATTAAATATATCTAGTTGACATCTCATTTCTGTCGCCCGGCTCAATCACCCAGAAAATCCACATGCGAGCTTGACTTCATAGTCACTGGTGTATAGCAGAAAGCGTTGTAAACTTGAGCCTTCCTTTACAACTGGTGAAATACCAATGGTTGGCCATTGAGAACCAGATGGTTTTCATTCAGCCACAATTAAATCCTTCTACTCTATCACTGTCCATGCACATGATAGTCGTATACAATTTCAATTAAGGCTACACAGAGGACAATGTAAGCTTTCATCACCGACAGAATTAAGTAAGGGGTGTTTTAGTTCAAGCGTTCAAGAGAGTGCGTATAAACAGTGGTTGAATTGAGCTGGGTTTGAATGATGATTGTGACATATTGTCAATGATGTATAAATATTAAACTAATTAAGTTGGTATTTTTAGACCTCTCCTATCCTGTCAATAGCATGACAATACCTGTCAATAAACAGGTGTTACTACGGTTACCCCAGTCAAGTCATTCATGTTGAGAGTGCTTGTCAGAAAATGTGAACATTCAATAACTTGGTGGTACCAGCCAAATATCTAGAGCATACCCTCGAGTGAGTGAGTGAGTGAGTGAGTGTGAGTGAGTGAGTGAGTGAGTGAGTGAGTGAGTGAGTGAGTACTTTATTGACAGCTGCTGTTACCGGTTTGCCATCAATACAAAGAAGCAGAAGACCAAAAGAATGGCCATGTGGGGAATAAAACCTATGTCTTTGGTGTGACAAGGAAACTACTTGACTACCTCGTCGTTCCGGTTTGTAATGAACTGTTATTACCTATTTAACATCAATACTTTTCGTATAATCATCAAAAAGAACATAACGACTTATTTTCATTTATCAGTTCTAGACAAATTTTGGTAATATCTGAAACAACTGATTTTAATCTATGAATATGGCACGGTCGATGGTGAGACTGACAAAGTGATGTTGTGACCTTTGATATTTCAAAGATTCGCATTAAGAACGTCATATGCCCAAAGAACCATTTATTCTTAGATATATCGTTAATTTTGCAACAGTAGCTGTCTTTCTGTAACATGCCATCATTCAAGTTTTATGAACTGAGTCAAGTTTCACATTCTCTGTAGCAGGAAAAACATTTATCCTGAGCCTTTGTCCAATTCTTTTGATTCAGGTGACCTAGGAAAATATCACATGTTGTTTTTTTCTAATAGAACCAATTATTCTTCTCCTGCCAAGCCCTATCGAGTGTCTGGAGAAACAGAGGCAGATTATAGATAAGGTTATGTGTATCTCCTGGGTGGTGATGACCTATAGAACACATGATGATAATGGCCACTATTTTAAAACATAACATTTGAACTTGGGAACATTTCTTTTCGAAACCAGACAATACCACTTGTGTGGGTATTTGAATGAAAGGATTTTTCGTTCTGTTTTGTTTGAATGGTTACACAATAGGACATAAACATCAACTTGCAAGAAACATGTCAAATTTGAATATTTCTATTACTTCCCTAAGGCTTGACATTTTACAAAAATATGAAGGAATGAGAAGTATTTTGTCTGTTTGAACTTTAAACAGAGAAAACATTACAATATCGGATTTGTTTGGAAAACATTCCCAGAAGCCGAGAGGAAACCATGCACTAGACTACTGCACCAGCTATCAACATGCAGGGTGGGACGAGGCCATCTTAATGGAATCTCACAACATCACATTTTGTCTTTGCTTGTTGACCAAGCTGGATGGGGCTGCTGGCATGCACCTAAAACCACAAAATAGCTGTCTAATTTGCCAGGGGAACCCATAGACTTGGGGCAGAGCAGGTAACTTCGCTTTTGCCCTTTGTGGTAATGGTTCCAGCACACGGCAGCCATTATGAGGGTTGAAGGGTCGGAGGCACAAGCCTTGAAATTGTTTACAGCCTGGCAGTATGCATGCCGGAATTCATGGAAGGTTAGGAGGAGATAAAAATGTCCATACCCAGGTAGAGTTGTTGGTGGCTAAAACACCATGAACTGGGAACAAACAGGTTCAGGATGACCATCTGGTGATACAGGGCAATGGTAGCATGAGAAACCATCCCTAACCTCTTTTCAAAGAAAAACAATTAGCACGAACACATACTTCCTTCTTATTTATGAGCAGGAATCCTTCTGATCTTCTCTGACCCACATACTCGTAGAATCATGTCAGCCGTGTTATGAAGTTTCACATTTTAACAAACCAATCACATTGAATCCCTCTCCAAATCCCTACCTTTTAACCTAGATTCGAATCAGTAATCATCAGGACCTAATGTTACCACAATAATTTGGAAGGTGTTGTAAAAGAAAAGTGGAACATAAAACATTCCCATCTGTGCAATGCTTTCAATGTGTAGGAATTCCTCCATTTCCTAAATGGGCTAATCCTCTAACGTCTATCAGCAATGATATACCTGATAAGCTAATGGACAATTTGGCAATATGGTCAAGCAACGCCAACTGGTGACAATTGTAGCCAAATCGGTCAGTGGCGTGATGAACGGTGGCTAATGGCGGCAATCCATACCTCCGATCTCAGCGCAGTACATCACCTTCCTCTAACTGGTCGACCTTATTTGCTAATGGCGCCAGAACCAAAGACGAAGATAAGAGCATGGCAAAACACCCAACAATGTCTGTGAGAATGCTTGCATTCATTATGGGGGATTAGTCTTCAAGATATTAGACAAATTACTTTGGGCATGATTACATTAGGGGTTTATTGACCATCAAAGCATTAGCCTTTGTGAATCATCATTTTTGTGTTTCTGTAGGTCATATGTAAGTAAAAGCTTCAGCCCTGGGTGTACTGTATATCCAACAGACCACAATATTCGAGGCAATAACATATGATGTCCTCCATCACTTCAAAGACCAACGAAGCCATTATAACAAGTGTTTTTCCTTTGTGACGCCTGATGACCTTCAGCTAAGTGAGAGGGGAAGTGCTACTATTCTCTTGACAACTTAATATTATGGAGGGGAGGGGAGTTAGACATATAGGGCAGGGTTCATATGAAACAGAGCATGTCTTGGGAGCAGGATTTTGACCCTTGCCAGTATGAGTGCCACCTTGCAGGGGTTTGGCTCACCTTTGAAGGGGACAAGAGGGAGGGGTGAGGTGAGAAGGGGATGAGGAGAGAGGAGGATGAAGAGAGCGAGAAGAGAAGAGACAGGGCAGGAAAAGAAAAAAAGGAAGGTATGGAGATGGCAAGACTAACCCTTAGTCTCTGAATATATATAGAAGTTTGATAGAAACAATAATTCCTTCTTAACTGAAAAGGATACCCAGTGAGATTCAGGAATTTGAGGAAATCTAGACTTGTTCATTTAGGGCTTTAGCATCGCAGAAAGGGCTGGGCGGAGGGAAATTGATGCGGTTCA